TTGTGAGACAGATCTTGTTATATCACTAAGTTGTCCACACTGGGCTTGAATCTGAGATCCACCTGCCTGAGCGTCCCAGAATGACAGGATTACCGTGTGCACCACCATGCCCAGCTAAGAAGTAGGGTGTTAAAGAGAGGGAGGATAGGGCCCGGATGTAGCTCAGTGGTGCCAAGCCTGCCTAGCAAGCACAAGGTCCTGAGTTCTATCCCGTGTACTGAAAAAAAAATTAGAAATAGAACTGGGATATAAAGGATCTAGAACAGTAGTGGTGAACCTATGGTACACGTGTTGTTTTTCTTATGACAAAAGATGTTAATGTATGAGATTTTTTTTCTAAACTAAAACCTTAGTATGCAGGTTTAATTGCAGTGTTGGCACTTTGCAATAGATAAGTGGGTTTTGGGTTGCAATTTGGGCACTCCTCTCTAAAAGGTTTGCTGTCAATGGAAGCTTTCAGAAGCCAGGCCCTGAGCCTCCTTGGGTGTAAAAGGACAAGAGGCCTCTTTAGGAGGTTTCTATGGACGAATGGTAAGCCCTCCGGGTCAGAGAAGACAGATGATATTGCAGAAGTTAGTGAAAGAGTTAGGGGGAATCTAGAAGATAAAGGTAAATATGAGCCAGGTCTGACACACACCTGTAATCCCAGCACTCTGGAGGCTGAGGCAGGAGGATCATCATGAGTTCAAGGCCAGCCTGGGTTACATAGTGAGTTCGAGGCGAGCCTGAACTACATAGCGAGAGCATCTCAAAAAACAAAACAGAAAACAACCAAGGTGAATATATATTCTCTCTCCTGTGCTGGTGAGGAGGATGCCCCCGAGAATGAGCAGACAAGCCCCAGCTTTTGCAGAGCTTCTAGTGGCACAGTTAAAGAAAAGCAAACCTGCTGCAGTCAGTGCTGTGTTGGGCCCTCCTTGACATCTAGATGCCCTCTGAGGGCAGAGAGCTCTTGTATTCCCTTCCCCGTCCCCTCCCCTGGACACCACCACTGGGACACATGAGGAGACGGGTGTGCAAAAAACCTTTTGCAATGACTGAGTGACCCTTTCCCCAGTGTGCTGCGACCAAGCCCCTCACAACCTTTTCATGGGAGTCGTGGGTGTTGTTGCCACAGCTCACGCTTGGCGGCACCGCCCCCCCATCACCTCCGGACCCTTGCTCTCCCAGACACCATCCGGAAGATGAAGAACGATTTCCGAAAGATGGAGGATGAGATGGACCGGCTGGCCACCAACATGGCTGTGATAACCGACTTCAGTGCGCGCATTAGCGCCACGCTGCAGGACCGCCACGAGCGCATCACAAAGCTGGCAGGTGGGCACCTTTCAGGGCAGGTCCTTCAACAGACAGTGGCCTGGGCTCTGGGCTGATACCCCTCTGGTCCTGCAGGGGTGCACGCGTTGTTGCGGAAGCTGCAGTTCCTCTTCGAGCTGCCTTCGCGCCTCACCAAATGCGTGGATCTGGGGGCCTACGGGCAAGCGGTGCGCTACCAGGGCCGAGCGCGGGCGGTGCTACAGCAATACCAGCACCTGCCCTCCTTCCGCGCCATCCAGGACGACTGCCAGGTCATCACAGCCCGCCTTGTGCAGCAGCTGCGGCAGCGCTTCAGGTATGGCCCTTCAGCACCCACTCCAGGCACCTAGGCCTTTGCGAGCTGTTGCCCTACCACGCACTTTCCTTTCCTTTCCATTCCTCGAACTCCACAGGGAGGGCGGCTCCGGAGCCCCGGAGCAGGCTGAATGCATAGAGCTGTTGCTGGCGCTGGGCGAGCCTGCGGAGGAGCTGTGCGAGGAGTTCCTGGCGCATGCCCGGGGGCGGCTGGAGGAGGAGCTGAGCGCCCTGGAGAAGGAGCTGGGGCCCTCTCCCCCCGCCCCTGATGTGTTGGAGTTCACTGACCGGGGTGGCAGTGGCTTTGTGGGTGGCCTCTGCCAGGTGGCAGCAGCCTACCAAGAGCTGTTCGCAGCCCAGGGCCCTGCGGGTGTGGAGAAGCTGGCAGCCTTTGCCCGGGAGCTAGGCGGCCGCTACTTTGAGCTGGTGGAACGGCGGCTGGCACAGGAGCAAGGTGGCAGTGACAACTCACTTCTCGTGCGGGCGCTGGATCGCTTCCACCGGCGCTTGCGCGCACCCGGGCCTCTGCTGGCTGCTGCTCGGCTTACCGAGTCAGCTACGGAGATAGTGGAGCGAGTGGCCCGAGAGCGCCTGGGTCACCACCTGCAGGGCCTGCGGGTGGCTTTCCTGGGCTGTCTGACTGATGTGCGCCAGGCGCTTGCTGCTCCTCGCCTGGCTGGGAAGGAGGGCCCCAGCCTGGCCGAGTTGCTCGCCAATGTGGCCAGCTCCATCCTAAGCCACATCAAGGCCTCTCTGGCTGCTGTTCACCTCTTCACTGCCAAGGAGGTGTCCTTCTCCAACAAGCCCTACTTCCGGGTACAGTCTGCCCTTGGGCTTAGCGTTATTTATCCTGCTAGATAGCCCAGTACCAGTGTTTGGGAAACTGGGCAGGAACTAACAGCACTCAGAGTCCTGGCCCCAGGGACTCTGGATATGGATTCAGGTTCTCAAGAAGCGCAGTTGGGAGGATTGGGGTGGGGGGCTGCAGCCATTTGCAGCTGGGCTGAAAGTAGGAGAGTGGCAGGATTCCCAGGGCTGCCAACCCCCCACTGTCCATGCCTGGGCCAAGCAGCGAAGCTGCCCTTGCTACTTGCAATGTAGGATGAAGTTTTCCCATGGAGCAGGGACTGGGCAGAGGATAAGGAGTGGCCCTTCCTAGAAGAGAGGGCCACCTCTACATCTGGGCCTTCCCTCCTCACAGGGTGAGTTCTGCAGCCAGGGTGTCCGAGAGGGTCTCATTGTGGGCTTCATCCGCTCCATGTGCCAGACGGCCCAGAGCTTCTGTGACAGCGCAGGGGAGAAGGGAGGTGCTACACCACCTGCCCTGCTCCTGCTCCTCTCTCGCCTCTGCCTGGACTATGAGACAGCCACCATCTCCTATATCCTCACCCTCACTGATGAGCAGTTTCTGGTGCAGGTGAACTACTGGCTCGTAGCAGCGTAGTCGGAGGTGGTGCTGGGAATGCAGGAAGCGGGATGGTCTCCAGTGGCCAAACCCAGACTGTCCATCTGTGCCCACCAACCTCCACCTTGCCCAGGCTGTGTCCAGCTCTAGCGTGGCAGATGCCAACGACCTGCCCCTATATCCATTGCCTCTGTCCTCTGCCTCCCTGTCCTAGGACCAGTCTCCAGTGACACCTGTGAGTACGCTGTGTGCAGAGGCCAGGGAGACAGCACGGCGACTGCTGACCCACTATGTGAAAGTGCAGGGCCTGGTCATATCGCAGATGCTGCGCAAGAGCGTGGAGACACGGGACTGGCTCAGTACCCTTGAGCCCCGCAATGTGCGCGCTGTCATGAAGCGGGTGGTGGAGGACACTACGGCGATCGATGTGCAGGTGCTCCCTCGACTGCTGGCGGAGCCCTGACATGGGTGGGGGTTCTGAGGGTCAGCTTTCTAAGGATTGAGACAAAGGGACCAGGCAGTCCTTGTATCCATAGCCTTATTCCTCTGTACCCTGGATTATGGTATCATCCCCCATTTCACCTATACAGTCACAAAGTCAGGGCAGGTCTGGTGCTGAAGATCGGGTCCCTGACTCTTGTGGCCCGCCTTCACCCCGCTCCACTGATTCTATAAAGGGTGACCAATAAGTTAACTGCATCCTCTCCTGGGTCCCAAGTACCTAACTGAAAGGGGTCCTGTGCTTGGCCTCCATGCAGTGTGCCTTTTCGCCACCAGGTTGGGCTCCTGTATGAAGAGGGTGTTCGCAAGGCCCAGAGCAGCGACTCCAGCAAGAGGACCTTCTCTGTGTACAGTAGCTCTCGGCAGCAGGGCCGCTATGCACCCAGCTACACACCCAGGTTTGGCTGGTAGGGCAGCCTCAGGGAAACAGACAAAAGAGGACAATCACAAAGGGTAGTCTCTGATTCTTTGTCTCCTCCCTCCAGTGCCCCCATGGACACCAACCTTTTGAGCAATATCCAGAAGCTGTTTTCTGAACGCATTGATGTGTTCAGCCCAGTGGAGTTCAACAAGGTCTGAAGTTCCACGTGACCCAGACTTCAGGGGACCCGGGAATGCTGGCTGGAGCAGTTCCCCACCAGTGAGGAAGCCCTAGGACTGTGCCTGACACCTTCCTCGGGACTCTAGGGATGTGTCTAGGTAGTCTTCATGGCCCTCGCCTGGGCACTGACCTAGATGCACTCTGCCCTCGTCCCCCACAGTAGTCCTGGGGTATCCTGAGAGATTGCTAGTCACACCTTGGTTTCTGCTCCACCCCACCCCATACTTGGGTTGGGTTTCTCAATAACATACCCCACTACCCTGTGCTATTGCGGGCCCCTGTCTTGGCCTGACTGTTGGGTTGTACCAGTCCCGGGCATTCCAGAGGGTTTTGCTAACTATCCCTTCCCCTTCCCTGAACCCTGGGTCCTTCTGTCTCCCCCCTTCCTCTATTCAGAAGTTGGGTGTCTCCTACCCCAACAGCAGTCACCAGCCACAACCCTGTGACCCACCTGCAGGTATCGGTGCTGACTGGCATCATTAAAATAAGCCTGAAGACCCTGCTGGAATGCGTGCGGCTGCGCACTTTTGGACGATTCGGGCTACAGCAGGTGCAGGTGGACTGCCACTTCCTGCAGCTCTACCTATGGCGCTTTGTGGCCGAGGAGGAGCTTGTGCACGTGCTGCTGGATGAAGTGGTGGCCTCGGCAGCCCTGCGCTGTCCAGACCCGGTGCCCATGGAGCCCAGCGTCGTTGAAGTCATCTGCGAGCGCGGCTAGGCCCAGCAATGTCCCGCAGTGCCCTGTTCGACGGAGCCTGGAATCCCTTGTCGGACCCTCCCTGCACGCTGGTGTTAGGACCTGCCTAATAAAGTGTGTTGTCTTCCACCCTTTCGCTCGAGGGCGGGGGTGTGGGTGGGGCTTCAAGACTGGGGCTACATTGGTGGCTGTGCGGGGCCTGTCCTGGCTGCTGATTGGCTGGCACACTGGGCCCACGATGGGTGGGGGGCGTGGCCACGGGAACAGGAGCGCCGCTGTCCAGCCCTGTGTCAGGACAGGTGCTGGTGTCGGGTGGCCAGATCTTTAGTCACCAGCCCACTTTCTCGAGCACGTGTGGGGTCGTGTTTTCTTGACCGACTTCGTGAGCCCCCATCTCCCGGCGGAGTTGAGATCATGGCCTCTCCTCAGGGTCTCCAACCCCCCCTGGAATTTGGGGGGCCCCTGGGTAAATGGAGCAGAAAGCGGGTGCTTGGGGGCGGAAGGCGAGCTGGAGGGAATGAGTTGGAATCGCAGACGCGCAGGATCTGAGGGTGGAGGCTGTGGGCTTGGGGTGTGCAGGGGGCAGTATCCGCAGAGCGGCAGCTGGGTGGGGGGCGGTGGGAGGCAGAGGGTAACGCGAGGGGGTCCCAAGGGAAACCGAGATGGGCGGCCCCGGAACGCCGGAGTCGGGAGGGCCTGAATGCCGCGATCCCTCCCCAGGTGCCGCTGCGCTCATTCTGGTAACGCGAGGGGGTCCCAAGGGAAACCGAGATGGGCGGCCCCGGAACGCCGGAGTCGGGAGGGCCTGAATGCCGCGATCCCTCCCCAGGTGCCGCTGCGCTCATTCTGTTGTTGCCCGCCACCACGCTCCACCTGCTCCTGGTGGCCCGCTCTGGCCCGGCTCGCCTCCTGGGGCCACCTCCGCACCTGCCCCGGCTCTCGACGCTGTGGAGCCCCCGGGTACTGCTGTTGTTGCTCGCCTGGCTCGGTCTACAGGCGGCGCTCTACTTGCTGCCGGCGCGCAAGGTGTGGGCCCAGCTCCAAGGCGAGGGGGAGGAGGGCGCCCTGCGGGAGAGGAGGCGCCCCGACCCTTCTCAGACTCTCTTTGCACTCGTAGGTGGTGGAGGGGCTGGAATTGAAGGACAAGAGTCGCCTGCGCTATCCTATTAACGGTGCCTGGGGGACCAGCCCTTGGCTGGAATTGTGCGGGTGGCAGTGGGGTTCACATCTAGCGGCGAGGTCATAGAGTTTAGCCCCAAGCCCAAGCTCTTTTGTGTGCCTCATTTACAACCAGGACAGACGCCAAGGGGTCTCTTCTTTGTCCCCACCCCCTTACCTCATTTGCTGCTGCTCTACACAGCGGTGCAGTGGCTGGAATGGCCCTCTGAAGGCCGAGGTGGCAGCGTAGTGGCTTAGGGTGAGGTTTGTGACTTCCCTGAGCTTTGAGCTCTGTGTGTCTGTGCCTGTGTGACTTGTGTTCTTGAGGGGTTGGGAGGGAAACCTACAGCCCCAGGACTCACTGTGCTGCTGTTCAGGCTTCCAGGCCCTGGTGCTGACAGCCCTACTGGTGGGGCTGGGGGTATCTGCCGGGCTTCCCCTGGGGACTCTCTCGGAAATGCTGCTGCCATTGGCGTTCATGGCCATCCTCACCACCTTCATCTTCAGCTTCCTTCTCTATATGAAGGCTCAGGTGGCCCCTGCCTCAGGCCTGGCACCGGGGGGAAACTCAGGTGAGATAAATCTTGTGGGGTGGGGATGGAGGCAGATGGGGATGCCCATCTGCGATTTTATCTTTTGCTACTCTTTAGGCAACACCATTTATGACTTCTTCTTGGGACGGGAACTGAACCCTCGAATTTGTTCCTTTGACTTCAAATATTTCTGCGAGCTGAGGCCTGGCCTCATTGGCTGGGTATGCTGGGTCTGAGTAGGCTTACCTGGGGCCAGGGGAGGGGCAGGATGCCTTTTTTTTCCTCAAATGTGTTCGTCCACCCCATCCCCCTGACATTGCTGTAGTACTGGGAGACCAAATGGGTTAGTCTCTGCCCCATAAAGCCTTCCTTCTGGTTGGAAAAATAGACCAGAAATCAGTGCAATATATGTAGTGAGGCTGGGGTGTGGCTTAGTAGCAGAGCACTTGCCTAGCATGTGTGATGCCCTCGGTTCTACCCCCAGCATGACAAAAACAAACATTTGTATATAGCCTGTCAGGGATGACAAGTGCCTCAGAGGAAAGCCAAGCAAGGGGCAGCTGGGACAGCACATACAGTTTTGTTTTGTTTGTTTTTGGATTTTTTGAGATGGGGTCTCACTATGTAGTTGAGATTATGTCTCAACTGGAACGATGTAGCCCAGGCTGTTCTTGAACTCACAGCAATCCTCCTGCCTCAGTCTCCAGAGTGCTAGGATTACAGGCATGCACCACCATGCCCAGCTTGTTTGTTTTTTGAGACTGGGTCTCACTATTAGTTCAGGCTGGGCTTGAACTCACTAAGTAGCCCAGGTGATTTTCCTGCCTCAGCCTCCCAAATATGGGATTACAGGTGTGCACCACCACATGCAGGTTTTTTTGTTGTTATTTTTTTGTTTTTTGCTTTTTTGGTACTGGGAATTGAACTCATGGCCTTGAGCTTGCCAGGCAGGCACTGCACTGCTGAGCTACATCCCTGGCCCCTACATGCAGTTTATTTTATTTTTTACATGCAGTTTTTTAAATTCAGGGGTCAAATGCAAAATCTGTTTCTAGGGCAGTGATCACATGCTGCTTGACAGCCAAGGCAGTGCAGAACTTTTTTTTCTTTTGTTTTTTTGAGACAGGGTCTCACTATGTAGTTGAGACTGACCTGGAATTTACTATGTAGCCCAGGCTGATCTCGAACTCACAGCGATCCTCCTGCCTCAGCCTCCTGAGTGCTGGGATTACAGGCATGCGCCACCAGGCCTGGCTCAGAGCTTCTGATTGAAAGGTTTAGCAACCTGTCCCTGGTGTCCTTGACAATAATCCAGCTGTGTTCTTTGGTTATGATCACCATGCTGGGTAGTAACCAAGATTACCAGAGGCACTTGGGCCAAATATCTTGTGTCACCTTGGAAATAATCTCACTTTGAAGCAGGGCTGTCAAGTGCCCACCATGAATCTTTTTTTTGGGGTGGGGAGTACTGGGAATTGAATTTAAGGTCTTCACACTGAGCTACCTACATCCCCTGTCCTTTTTTTAAAAATTTGTTTGAGACATGGGTTGGGGATTTGGCCCAATGGCACTGCACCTGCCTCAAAAGCACAAGGTCCTGAGTTCGATCCATGGTACAAAAAATTTGAGACAGAATTTCATTACATCACAAAGTTGCCCAGGTTGGACTCAAACCTATGATCCTCCTACCTCAGCCTCCAAAATAGTTTGAATAATAAGTACGTGTCAGTCACCTGGCTCCATCATGGATCTGGATTCTGACCTGCTCACAGGCATGTCAATTGCTCAGCTATTTCCTCATGGGGTACAATTAAAACTTTCTTCCAAGATTATTGTGAGAATTAGAACCTTAATAACAGCACCTAGCTCAGTGCATAAATGTCCTTAGTACAGACTGGGTCCCACTTTCACACACATTTTGTTGGAGACTTCAGAAACAGCACCGTGAAGACAGGTGTGGTGATGCACCCCTGTAATCCCAGCACTTGGGAGGCTGAGGCAGAACTGCCTCAAGTTCCAGGCCAGTCTGGACTACATAATGAGTTTAAGACCAGCCTGGACTACAGAGCGAGAACCCAACTCAAAAAACAAAAACAAACAAAAACCAACCACCACCAGGCAGGTCCACAATTAGTATACACATTTTCCTGAGTGGTAGAAAGTGAGCACCCCACCCAAGTGGCAAAGCTCAGATTCAAAATAGTTTTAATCTGGAGCTGGAATCACAGTCTGTGTCCCTTATAGAGCCTGGGTCCATTCAACAAGGGGTTGGAGAGTGACAGTGACAGCTGGAGATGAGAGATGGGCACTGCCCCACCCACGTTCTGCCACTTCCGAGGAGCCGATGGCCTTGTTTCCCCTCATCTCTAGGTCCTCATCAACCTGGCCCTGCTTGTGCAAGAGGCGGAGCTACGGGGGAGCCCCTCCCTGGCCATGTGGCTGGTCAATGGCTTCCAGCTGCTCTATGTGGGTGATGCCCTCTGGCATGAGGTGAGGCTGGACTGGGTAGGGGAGGCAGGGAGGTACTCTGCGGACCTCATCAGGACTAAGCTAGTGTCTGGGTGCTGTCCCTGCAGGAGGCTGTCCTCACCACCATGGACATCACCCATGACGGGTTTGGCTTCATGCTGGTATTTGGTGACCTGGTCTGGGTACCCTTCACCTACAGCCTGCAGGCTCAATTCCTGCTGTACCACCCGCAGCCTCTGGGGCTGCCCACAGCCTTGGCCATCTGCCTCATCAATGGTCAGTCAGGAAAGGCAGCAAGCTGGCCTTGTCATTTCTTCTCTCCCTTTCATTCACTCACCTCCTACTCAGCATGTAGTGGGCAGGTACTAAGCGCAGGTGCTTTTTTAAAGCTGGGGTCCAGAGCTGCTGGGCCAGAGTTGGTGGATGGTGAGGGTCAGGCAGATGGCTGTGACCCTCAACCCTGACCCTCACTCTTGCTTTCCCTCAGCCATTGGTTACTATATTTTCCGTGGGGCCAATTCCCAGAAAAATACTTTCCGGAAGAATCCATCTGACCCCAGTGTGGCTGGTGAGCTGTCTCTTGGGGGCCGCGGGTGAGACAGGGCAGCAGTGCTTTCTGGGGTTCCCTATCCTACTACTTTTTCCCCTAGGCCTTGAGACCATCCCTACAGCCACGGGAAAGAGGCTGCTGGTGTCTGGATGGTGGGGTATGGTTCGCCATCCCAACTACCTCGGGGACCTCATCATGGCTCTGGCCTGGTCCTTGCCCTGTGGTGAGTGGTGGCATGGGTGGGGATGGGCAGGGGTTCCATGATCACAGGATGCCCAGCTTGGGTGGGCCTGGCAGTGCCTGTGGAGGGACACAGTATGCGGCTGGGCAAGATCAGTGCCAGTGCATACTGGATGTCTCGATATGGACCTGATCCTTTGACTTTCACCACTGATCTGACGCCTTGTGAGCCATTAGGTATGGGAACCTATGACCCAGCTGGGTGGCCTCAGAACCCCATTTCTTTCAGGGTTGTCCCACTTGCTCCCCTACTTCTACTTCCTCTACTTCTTCGCGCTGCTGGTGCACCGAGAAGCTCGAGATGAGCAGCAGTGCCTACAGAAGTACGGCCGGGCCTGGCAGGAATACTGCCGGCGTGTTCCTTACCGCATCATACCCTACATCTACTGAACGGTCCTGCTGCCCACACACCTCGAGCCAGGAAGCCAGGACACACAGGGACTCACGGGCCTGCACCCTACTCAGCCCTGAGCTGGACCAAGCTCACAGAAGAAGTGTTGGGGAGCACTGTCCCCCTTTGCATAAATGTCCAGAGCCCACAGAACACTTTTCTCCCATTCTGGGGTCACTGTGTTTATGACCAGCTAGGTCAGCTCTGAGAACGAAGAAGCTGAGAGGAAGTATGTGGGTCCCATACTTGTGGTGGACGACAGTTGTCACTCAGATACAGGCACTGCCAACAAGTGGGCAGGTCAGTCACAGCTTTATTAATGACAAGGATCCCCAATTCAGCCAGGAAGCTCCTCAATGAGAGTCTTTGGGGCAGGTGGCACGGGGCCTCCCCAAAGCCGCTCCATTTCCTCAGTGAGGGCTGCCACCTCCTCGGCTGCCACAGCATGGGCTCTGTAGGCCATGGTGCAGTCTAGGGCCAGAGGCATGAGGACGGCCTCATTTTCGTTGGTCCAGGCCAGCAGGAATTGGCACTTCTTCCGGGCCCGGTAGAGGCGATTTCGCTCTTCCTGAGCCAGGGCTTGTTTCCGGGCCCGGCCTAGGGTCTGTGCGAGGTGCCCCAGGGCTGCCAGCGTGTACCCTTTCCGGTCAGCCGCATCCTCGCCCCATAAAATTCGGGCGGACTCCTGCATCGCACCCCGTGTACCCAGAGGCCCGGGAGGATGCTCGCCTGCTTCCAATACGTGGGCTGCGGCCTGCAGGGCTTCCTCCGCAGAGGCGAAAACTTGCTGGGCGCCCAGGGCTCCGGAGACACCAAGCAGTGTGGCACAGAAGTCGGAGAGCAGCGCGTCGTCCCCGCCATGATAGAGGGCGAGAGGGGG